AACAGTTCAGACACTACTGGATGCTGCAGATGCTGGTGAAAATCCAGAAGCTTTTTTAAATGAAACAAAAGGTATTTTATAGCTTTTCATAGTTGATGTTCTTCAAACCGATATCATTGTGAAAGCAGAAAGGTAGCACTACCCAAAGCTCTGTAGAGATTCAATAACAATAAGCCAAGTTGAGGGTGTCGTGGGAAGGTTCAGCTCCTGGCTGAAGGTCCATGTGCCTCTAACTTAACTGTCACGGGAAGGAGACACACAAATCTGCTTCCCACCTGTGCTCTCCTTTGGGACTTCTTTCCAGTGCCTTCAGATAACTGCAATATCCACCTCCAAGCAAAGAGAACACCTTTCTCCATTCTGGTGCTTGTCAATGGTGCTGCTCTGAGGGTTGTTTACTTACTTATCCACAACAGGAATCCAGCATCTGCAAAGTCTGGTTCCGCTTTTCTGTGTTCCCGTCACTTACCAATCCTGGCCCAAGAGGTTTGTCTTCCAGCTCACAGTCACACATTATTTCTTGTTCCAGTCTCAGACTTCCAAAATGCTAAATTATAACCATTATGTCCCATTTTCCACTAGGACACTACTGAATTTAGAGGAGTGTTTCAAAGTAAATACTACAATAAGCCATGTGACTTCATCAAAGCAGGAAAAAAAGCCAGCAGGGTCCTCAGTGCTGGGTTAGACTTTCACGGTCACTCTGGTGCCTCTTTCCTACTCACCATTAGGAGATTTAATGAGAAACATTCCTTAAAAATCCAGTCTTTTTTCCATACCTGTCGGCCTGTTGGAGCAGGGAGCAATGTTAAGACAGCAGTAAGCTGGGGAAGGGACAGGAAGTGGCTGGAGAAGAAAAGGGGACACGCACAATCTTGTCTGTGGATGTGCTGTCACTGTCTACTCAGTGTTCCTTTCAGTGCAGTGGTGACTCTAATGTTTTCACCCCTGGAGAACTCCTCTCTGCAGCAGCCCTTCCAATGCTGCTGTTCTGCCGCCCAGTTAGTGGATAAAACCACCTAATGTGGTGGGCACTGGAACCAAATCCACTGCCAGCTCTGCTGGTCTCTAAACAAGCTGCACAGAAGACCCAGGAAACCTTGAGCTGTTATGTCCATTAAGTGAAATAAGACATCTCTAGCCTCTTTTTTTCCTTTCTCCTTTCTTCCTGCTTCACTACTTTCAAGTTTTCCCCATAAATGTAGGAGAAGACTGTTTCTATTTAGCTGTGATTGTCTGTTGCACTACAGGCTGTACTGAAAGTTCCTGTGAGCTTCTAGCACATGAACATACCTGGTGTGCCAGAGGTGAGCAGTCCCTCTTGCTGCTGTCAGGTAGGCTCAAGTGATGGGAGGACTCTCATGTTTAGAAGGATACATAGAGACTACTGGAAGGAGGAGGGAAATGAGCACCTGACAAACTGTTGCAGTGTGTGTGATGGTCATGGTAATGTCATGCCTGATTTCTCATGGCAATATCTTCTTATTAAATTTAATAAGAATAAAATGAATCTGTCCAAATTTTCTTGCTCAGTAGCAAAGGAAACTGTCCCTCTGAAGATGCTCGTCAGCCTCTGCCCATGTTTTGCTTTCAGGAGCTGAAAGTCAAAGCTGTGTTAAGTTTCACTTGATCCCGTTTCACGTGGCCTCCTGTGTCTTTTGAGCAGCTATTTTCCTCCCTTCTTTTAGCAGCACCTTTTGGGTTTTTCCTTTCAATTTAAATATGCCCCATCTTTGAGCTTTCCGGGGTCTGGCCATCTGTCCTTTTACCATGTTTTGCCGTTAAGTGCTACCTTGTTTGTCTGTGCCTGATCTCTTCTATCTCTTTTCTTCCTGTGCAGTATTGGGATGGGGAGCATGGACGCTAGGCAGCAGGAACAGGCAGGTGGTAGAACTGTGGGATTTACACTGTGAAACCTGAATAATACTGTTAAGAGATGTTTTAGCTCTGTTTACACAGCAAGTGCAAATCTATATCCAGTTGAAAATCTTTTCCTCTGGGAGATCTGTTACTTGTGACATGCAAGCAAGAAATCCATTTGTCTTCAAACAAAAGTCTCTATGCAGATTAATACAAACGATGTATTTTTACAAGTTGAACTAATTCTATATGTCAGAACATCAGAAAATGACTTTGTTTCATGGCCAACCTGTACAACTGATGCCTCATCTCTGTGGTGCTTTGTCCGCCTCTTTTGGACTCATAATTGGAAAGGTTTCTCACAAAATAACAAAACACGTTGAAATGTGGTTCAATTTTAATGCCAAAGAAGCTTTTGTCTTTGCTCAGGTGTCACCTTATTTTCCCACTTCTTGGTGCCTCAGCATGTCTGTGCTGCTGCTTCTAAAAGCAACCAAAAACCTCAGAGCTGCAAAACCAAACTTGCAGTAATTGGATTTGTGGTCTTGTAGAGACTCTGATGCTGACAGTCTCCTCTCTTTCTGCTGTTCTCACATGCTTTGTCTCACTTACTTTTGCTGATGGAAGAGGATGATTGGTCTTTGGGAGGAAAAAAGGAGTAGAAAGGTGTTTTATTTCTATAACCTGCTATCATTCCATCTGTACCCATTGCATCTCCTTAGACAATTAAGCCTGAAGATCAGTTATAAGTTGGCAGTATTTCACTGTTAACTGTTTCTGGGAGGAAACAAGGTTAAAGCACCCTCGAATCACAGAATGGTTTGGGTTGGAAGGGACCTTAAACATCATTCAGTTCCCACCCCCCTGCCATAAGCCTTTACTGTTCCTGCAATACACTATTTCAATGCCAAATAGACTATTCTAAACACTGTGCCATTCTGTAGGTTCTGTATGGAAGGTGCTTTACCAACTTTGCATTTTTTACTTGGGGTTCAGTTAGGAAATAACTCAACAGTGAGATCTATCATCTAACCCTGCCTGGTTGCTTCCCCCAGTGAGTCCAGCAGAAGAAAATGTATGCTTCCAGCTCAGGTATTTTGGTGCCAGTCCAACATCTGAGCACAGTGCTACCAGCCTCCTGAAGCTGAGGTGCTATTTTGTATGACACACGAGTATACATTTCCTGCTGCTGAGGGGGTAGTAGCTAAAAAGAGCTTGTAACTTTCTAACGTGGCTGACACAATAATCATCCAGAACCGATATGCTGTGAGCTCAGTGCTTTGAGCTTCTTGTTTTCACTTACTTGGACTCTTTCAGGCCACAGAGAAACATGTAACCTGTGGTCACCAGATGCAGCTTTGTTGCCTGGGGACTCTCCCAGCCATGCAGGCCAGAACATGCAAACATCTTAACACGATTAGAGGTTTTTAGCCCAAAAACCTCTAATTTCAGGTGCTACTTTTTTACACTGGCCGCAGGCTGGGTGTCTGGAGCAGAGGATGGTACTTGAGAATGGAGCTGAGGTGGGGAGGGTTTGTGTGTCAC